TTGCAGCAGCTTAGGGTAGAGCTGGAAACCATCGGGAAATCCTGGAGTCCTTTAGAAGAAAGCCCTGATCGCTATAACGTGAACCTTGATTGTCGGGACGACAATCTGGAAAAGGGAGGGCAGTGTTACGCCCGTGCCTACGCCCGCGTCGTTCGATGTACCAGCGAGCCGGTCCAGCTGTCAGATGTTTCCCTAACGACGCGTTGTCATCTGTCAAACGGATGACGTATCAGATTTGGAGACGAGCCGTCGTGCCGTGCGGACGTGCTGTGCTCTGTTCTATCTATTCGCTGCGTTATTTGTTCACAGTCATTACAATAAAGCGTGTTCCTTGTTTTCTTAATTTGGTGTTCCTTTTATTCCTCCCGCAGCCTTCCGGTGCGCGTGCGCGAACGCGAGTGCGGAAGCGCGTACGTTACGCGAGCGAGTGCGTGAACGCGATATTCACCGCCCCGGGCGTAACAATATAATTGACTATCAAGAGACACGGTAGTGTCTCACGCCAAGTATGCGCGCGCGTGCATACGGGTCGTGAGACCGAGCTGTGTCTCTTTACCCCAACCATCGAGTTGAGCGGAGGCACGATGATCATATCTAAAAAACGGCTAAGTGGACGAAATTTTTAATAGGCTTAGTCGATTGCTTGGGGTCATATTATGTAATAAAAGTGTTTTTATTTTTTTCTAAGTTGAATATTAAGAGAGATATTTCAAGTTTTATGTCAAAATGGGGGAAAATATATGTAAGAAACGTCGTCCCGGTGTCCGTGGTGTCCGGGTGTAAATCGACTTTCATTACTCGTATACGCCTATACAAACCCTCAAGCACCCTATACACCCATACTCATCTCCACCTACGCTATTCGTGCCAACACTTTCCACCCCCCCTCCCACCCACTACAAAGTCTTAATACATCCCATTTCGTCCCTGTATGACCTACTACACTTACACCCACCCACATGTATCACTTTCACCTCACCCCCACCCCACCCCACCCCCACCCCCACCTCACTCTAAAACACCTTAATACACTGTGAAACGTTCTGATACAGTAAAAATAATAAATTATCATTACTTTAATTAATTAAATAATTAAGTAACTTTTTAAAATACATACATATAATAAATAAAATGAGTTTACAATATAATGAGTTTACAATATAAAAAATTTGTATGTCGTGGATGCATCAGTTCTTCCACCAAGCGGAAATATCAATGCGCTTGTGATTGCATTGGCACAAAGAGCTGCCCGTATTCGTATTGAAAGAAGGAAAGCAGAAGGAAAAAGAAATATAAAAAAACAGCCTAAATCATATTACGTTCGTTACGTATTTAATATTTGTATCAATACGTGCGATTTATTGTGCAAATACAATTTGTAATTAACTAGCTTATTAATATTGATATTCCAATGTACACAAAAATGGATTGTCATTGATATAATAATACATTCATCGATATATAATAAAATACGAAAAAATAAAATTCTATCTTTCTTAATACATAATTTTGCATGATTTATTATAGATAAATTATAAATAATTTTAATAACAAAAACATTGCCTGTACGTGCGTGTATGTGAGAAGAAAGCGTATGTATACTTGCAATGATAAAGAATAATGTTATCTTTCATAATATATAATTTTACCTTTGTCTTTTTAATTGAGAGCAAGATAAATCATATTGAGTATTTTAAAAAAATATCGCTTATTTGTTACAACATTAACATAACTCAAAAATTATCATTTTTTAATCGCTTGTAGAAAGAGAACGGAAATATAAAGGAGAAAAAGAAACATACTTCCAAAGAACACACTTTTATTTCTCTGGAATGGGGGTTTGTATATGTATGTTACAAAAGCTAAATACACTGCTCAAAAAAATTATGACATAGAAAATTTTGNGAAAACATTGGTCAAA